GTGAGTAATTTGTGTACCCCCAAACTTGCAGCAGTAATGTATTCTGCTTCTTCCTACCATTGATGATGATAACGCATGACAGCCTAGTCTTATCTTTTAGGCATCATGCATACTATCAATGGAATTCAACACACAAAGCCCCAATCTAATCCAAGCTAAGCCAAAGTGGCAAGTAAGCATTGCGGTGTGTTAGTGCTAGTCCGTGCAGCGTACTTTATTGTGCCCATTCTGTATTTACGCAATGGTTCAATATGGAAGCCACACGGCTGCTTTCAAAAGCTGAAAGGCATTGATCATGCACAAAACAATGACCAACGGGACTGCCAGCAGGCACTTCCAAGTCGATGAGTTTTGTGTTCGCTACTGCCGACGGCAGCACGAAAAGCTGAAAGCCACCAACATAAGACGTGTCAGATCTTCCATGGGTCTAAGACTAGAAAATACCCACAGCTTGAGACAGAACTTCTTCATTATGTGAAAGGTTTCTATATCGTCAGTGTTTCTTGTCCCTTCAGAGCAGCATTTCATATTCATGAACTCTGACCAGTGCACCTGATTATCAGCGTTACTTTATAAAAATGCCATGGAGCACTTCTCAGAGAATATCTCTGCTTTCTCTGTCTCAAGTATTTCGATGTCAGTGTAGCTTTTCTTGAGAGTCTGACATGCACTTGAAGACATGTCATTGCCGAGGTACAAATGCAGATGTCAGCTGCATAATTTGACAAATATTCAGATATTGGAAGTGAACCAGCCATGACAATAGGTGGGAAGTAAACTGTGTCAAACTCAAGACACTGTATTTAGGTACTCATTGGTAGGCATTATCTTAAGATGTCGCACTATCCTTTGTCTCATTAAAAAATTTGTATTAAGTGATGCTTAGGTGTTGCTTTGATGTTCTGAAACGCTTTATTACTCATAATATTGTGATTCCTTTTCTGACATCAAGTCTGACTAAGACTAGTTTAGAAACATGTTCTAAGTACGGGCATGGCTCAGTGTTAGAATACTGAGCAGGCACACAGCGGATTAGGGTTCGAGTCACATTGTGTCATTAGTGATTTTTATTTACCGAGTTTTTTTCCTTCGATACTGGTTACAAACATCATCGACGGTGGTGGCAGACAACTATGGCGCTATTCGTAACCCATGTTTTGATCTCATAACAGCTTTCTCTGTAAAATGATTTGTCCTTCAGGCAGTTTGATATTCATGAAAGACACGGCCACGTAGCCAGATATCGTCCAAGACCTCAGAGATGCCTTGCTGAGTTAAGCAGTTTTATTCAATTGAAAGATAAAACTCTATACTCTGACATTGCCAAATACCTTAAGAATGGCTTGAAAGGTAAAGTTGTCATGGTTAGGTACCTTTAATTCACGTTCAGGAACAAGACTGCAGACAATCTATTTTTCATGCTGAACAAATCAAATGAGGTCAGTGATGTCTGTAAACAAGCATCTGTGTCAGAAGCCGGCAATAGTGTTGAGGTATATGCCATAAGGCTCTAGATAACAATCCAGGCTTTTCAGCATCGGCCTTCCCATCCCTTGCCCTGGACAAATAGCCCAAGCAGCGAGATGATAAAAAGTTACGTCAAGTAGTGATTTGCCCAGCTTTAGTGACTATATGAGGCAGCTGGATTTCATGCTGCTTGAATCAGTGAACTATGAATTTGTATTAAGGTCTAAAAGTACAGTTAAACTTGCTTATAACAAAATTTATCTATTTCCCATCGTTGCTCTGTAGAAGCACATGTATTTGCGATGTCTAGAAACAAAGTAACAGCGGGAGACAACCTTGATATAACGAATTTTTCCCACAAGCTATCTAGACATTTCGATTCGCATTTTTGCATTTTGGTGGGAGCATACATCTTTCGCAGCTGCCCAGCACCGACGAAGCGCGAATGGTGGAGCGCATGGCGCACCAGGTGAGAGCGAGCACTTGTTATTGCGTGCAGGTGAGCGCGAGGCGGCAGGCAGGCTTGCATTCCACGACGCAGCGTTGCCGTCATTCTCGCCGTGGGTGCATGCGCGAGTGTTCCCCCTCCCCCACCACTCCAACCCAAAACTATTGTTAAAAGTTGGCAGTGCCATGTTTTATTTAGCGTCACATATGTGAGGCTACGCTGCATATGGAGGACCTTTTACCAAATAGTTTTCCGCGGTACCCGTGTCTGTGTTCTTCGCTCTTTGTTTTCGATGCTGTGCATCCGTGCATAGCAAGCTAAATGTGCGTAGCTTCATTGCACACGTATGGAACTACGCACATTTCACGCATGATGTTGCCCCCGATGACGTTCAGCTCTGCCTTTTTTTATTGCGATAGCAATTATATGCACAGTCTCGGCTGGTTTTTTGCTGTCGCTGCTGCTGCCACTATCATTCACCGTATATATATACGTACCTATGTACATGAAAACTCAAGAAAAAAAACCCGCGCTCGGCGCCCAGCACGTCATGATGCGCTGACGCTGCTTGTCTCCCACGCATACATTGCCCTGCAAATGAGGGAGGTTAGATGCTTGTGCACGTGCTTTTATATATCCTTCCGTGGGAAGAATCTCGCGCTTTCGACTTGAACCAGAACAATTGCATTTAGTTGACGGGTGCACAAAGAACACTTTGCTCAATGGACTGGTGCCATTTGCGAAAAAGAGTGCTTTTCAAACACAGCGAAGTAACAACTGAGGCACTTGTTAGTTCGCACTCATATCTGTGCCTGTGATTACTTTTCGTGCCTCGTTTTTGTTCAAATAGCATGTTAAGTGTCGAGCGGTAAATGTTGTTAGTTCACTCTCGTCCTGTGTATGTTGTTTTCGTGCATCATTTGTGCGTGAGCAGCACGCTGCATATTACGATCTGCTTGCCGTTCTCTGCGTTAGATTCTAAGTTGTTGCTATTGCAATTAATGCGTCGCCGTTGCGGCGAAACTGTATTTTCTTAATTTCGGACAATCCTGTTGTCACCACCGAGGGTATGTTTGATCAGGCATTGATGGAAACTCTCCGAGACCACGGTTAGAAAGAATCTTCAGAGGTCGACTCATCACGCGCTTCTGTCTTGCATTGTGCTACAAGTTCGCAAGCTGGTAGCTTTCGCGATTAGCCTATTAGTTCTGGCAACATGCAATAAAGTGATAGCAAGAAGTTGTAATGTTATAAGAAGTAGAGCTGGCAGCCAATTTTTTTGTATTCAACATTGCGCAACTTCTACTAAATGGTAAAGTGAGCAAATACGGCCGCTCCAGAAAGAAGTGCTCTTTTCACACACTCCCTTCAAGACGAAACCACACTGATACTCATCGAGACAGCAAGCGTGCCAGTGATCATGACCGCCCCTAATATCCGAGTTTATTATTGCTACTCGAGCCCCCCCCCCCCCCTCGCCGCGTTGTTTCATGCTCATTTAAAAGGGGTGGTTTACTTTCTGTTTGAGCATTCGACCACAGTTCTAACATGCCAGAGATGTTATCCTATGCACTTTACAGGCGATAGAGATGGGCCTACTCCTATGATTTCTGCTTCAGCAGCTCTTGTGCGCTTTTACCCACTCATGAAAGTTTTGATGCGCAGGGGGCATATCATCTATTTGGACTTGTTAGGGAACATGGCTGCGATGGCAAAAATTTACCAAGAGTGTCCATATTATTGCTATTGAAATCATAAGCAGGTTTTTAGTGTAAATTATGTATTCTTGGGGAGCTCTGCCTTCAGTCTTCCTTTTGTTTAATTTGCACGTTTATTTTCTGAATTTTCGTACCGAACCTGAGCTTCTCGAACAGTGTCAGCATGGTTTGCACTGAGAATTACTGACAGTAAAATGGGGTGACAACAAAACATGAGGAGAGAATGTCGCATTATAATGAAATCTTTTTTATTACTAGTTTTTCCAGAAATTTTTCTATTTTGTTATATTCAGGTTTAACTGTACATGTCAGGCTATTTCCCTAAGGTATGTTGCCAAGAGCCTTGTATATTTCATGCATATAGCCATGTGTGGTCGCGCATATAGCCTTATATGCATGTAATTTCCCTAGGTTGAGGTAGTGAGGAATGTCTGCGCACTGCAAGTAGGAAGCTACAAGGGGAAAGCGGCAAGTAACTCTTCGATGTAAAGCAGCTCCACATGAGAACCTCCTGAAGTTGGAGCATTAGGCAGGTGTGTGCAGGAAAAACGTTCACCAGCTACCCTCGATCAAAAATTCTCTGCTACATTACTTCATTTATGACCTTGAAAGAGAGCTTGGCACTTGTAGTGGGGCATTGTTGCAGTGATGTTCAAAGATCACACACAGTGCTATATAAGTGACATAGACTTACAGAATTCAAGTAACTCACAAAAATTTTATTCCTAATGACATCGAGGCCAAAGAAGGCACAAAAGAAATTATGTACTTGCTTTTCCTAATTGAAGTGTTGAATCCACGAATTGTAAGAAAAGTGGACAAAAGCCTGTTACAGGGGAGAATCGAACCCACAATTTTTCATTACATCTCACCTATTGTGGCGCTGTTCTCCCCTTCACTTTTTTTAGTGTTTGTGTAAGTCCACTTCATATCACCAAGGAAATAGTATTCAAAGCTATAACTGATTGCCATACATAGACGTAGAACACCACTTTCACTCTAGGCAAGCTTAGTAGGCAAGCTTGTGATAACGAAAGTGTCCAATATACCATTGTACATTATACTTGAAGTCACCAAAGCTACTGGAGTCAAGATCCTTGCTTAGGAGAAGTAGGCCACTAAGATGGTGCAAATAAGATAACAAATTGGTATACCGTAAATGAGAAGCTCTACTGATCAAAGCAGAAATAGGGAAGGTTTTGTCATGATTGCCCCCCTTAACAACTATCGTATCCTGAACTTCATATGTAAATGAACAAAACAACTATAAAGAGAGCCACTAAGTTGGCAAAACAAACTACTAAAATGATAATGAAGCTACAATAATGAAGGCTGAAAGTTTATAGTTTCATATTGCTACAGCTTACCTCATCAAAAGAAAGACGATCAAGAAGAGAGCACAATGGAGCTGCCAGTCTGCACTGATGTACCACAAACTTGGCAGACACTGAAAACAAAGCCAGTGAAAGAATGAGTTTTGCTAGTTTTAGGGCTGATTTGATGTTCTATGCTGTTCTTACTATAATTCGACGAAGACATGAATATGCTATTACTTAACATTGTCAAATTTGCTGCACTTTCTCCTGAAACTAAAGTGCAGCGGAATATTAGTTTGTTGAGAAATTAATTATTCCTCTTTGAATAAGAAGCATGCCCAGAAATGGCTCTAATTATGTTGTATGTGCATCAGCTTCATTGTCATGCACAAACACGAATACACCTTTGCTCGTAGCTTGCGTTGTTACATACATATATATATAAATAAATAAATATATATATGTATATATATATATATGTATGTATATATATATATAATAAGATCTAACAGACAGTAATGCCAAGGAATGTATAGGGGAAGTTATTAGTTCAAATGAAATGTAAATCGAACACGTTATTCGAAGGTCGTCGGTTCGATTCCTGCTCACGGCTGGTTATTTTTTCACCCACTTTTCTTTCTTCTTATTTACATTCTATTTGATCTAACAACTTCCTCTATACATTCCTTGGCATTACTGTCTGTTAGATCTCCTTAATATTGTGTCAAAACATGGAAAAATGAGCCCTAAGTTTACACTTCTTTGCCATATATATATATATATATATATATATATATATATATATATATATATATATATATATATATATATATATATATATATACTGTGAAAATCAGACAAGAGACAATGCCCTTGCTTCGGGCAGGTCATTCTAATCTGACCGTTTTCTTCCTCCTCTACCTCGCTGTCCTAGTATACGCGTCTGTGCCAGTTTCCGTCTTTGTCATCACACTTGGTCATAATTGCAAGCATTGTCGATATGCCAGAAGACAATGTTCTGGTGGGTGAGTCTAGCTGCAGCAGTTGACAGTACTTTATGTGGGCAGGGTTGGCTGCATCAGCGTGGTCGGCCCCGTCCACGGTGAAAGTTTGTCAAAATTGGCTCTGGCGGCCAACACTGGCTATGTTGCCTGGGTCGTTCGCCATGTGGTGGTGGAGACTGGGTCCTGGTTGGTCCCTTTGTTGATGATGCTCCACGAACAACATTGACTGTCTCATGGTGGTCTACGACCTCGGCCATACTATGACTTTTCAGAGAAAGCAGTGTGAGTTAGATTCTTTTTTTTTTGGTGGACCGAACAGGTAGTCTCGTGGCACTCGAAGTTCCTTGCAGTGATGTGGATTGGAGACCAATTTCTTTGGTGATGGTTGTGTCAGGTGGTTCTCACTGGATCGACGTGGTTGCATGTTGATCGCGGAACACTTGCCTTTGTCTCCCCCATTTTAAAAGACAGGGCAAGAACTCATGGATTCGGCAACACAACATGTAGTACCATATGCGGCTGTCTGCACATTTTCCAGTGGGTCGAGAAGTGCCTGGGTGTCCTACTCGACTTCTGCGTCAGGGAAGGATGAAGTTCTCGCGCTGTGGCTGGTGCTTTTGCAGAGTTTTTGCTGTTGGTCTCTTTCACGTTTTCAAGTCAGCAATCCTTGAAGTATCGCTGCACAAAAGTAGGAGATCATCGTTGGTTGTCGTTGTAATAAAAGACTTGGGCTGCACATGAAGATATTTGATGAAGTTGACATCAGACTTCTCGCAGACCTTTGTGTCTTTTTACGTTCGGCCAATGAATGCATCACACAGGTTGATGTCAGACTTCTCGCAGACCTTAGTGTCTTCTTACGTTCGGCCAATGAATGCATCACACACAGATCCACATCCGTCTGGTCAGAGAAAATGCTCATGGAATCCGTCGAGATGCACATACTAGATGATAGAACATCGACTGCGATGTGAACTTGTGCATCTAAGTGCTCAAGCGATAGTGAGCATGGGTACAGATTTCTCGATCGATATAGAGGCGAAAAGCTCTCGATCCTTGGCATGGGTGCCCTGGCACCAGATACTGAGGTAGAGCCAGAGCATCTCCTTAGTCCTGTGTTGTTACCATGCCCAGCTGCCTAGCTCTCTGCAGGTGAGCTGCAGCACACAGTTGCAGCCTCGAGGTGGGGTGCTATCTGAGCTCTGTCCTTCAGGAAGACCAAGCTGGACTTGCTGGAGTCGCAGAGAATCCGACCAAAAGTAGCAATCAGGGCTTCACTCCATTCTGACCAGGACTGCTGCCTGACTCCTTCATATCTGTGCCTTGTTGTGGCACCTAACCGAAAGCAGTTTACAGCTACACTCCACTTCTGTCGCTAGGTCTATGCATTGTGAGCAGCGAGAGCATGCACGGTCACCACCTAGTCGTCGGCCACCCAGTCTAACTCGGTGTTCTGTAACCCGTGAAATTCCAGTAGTTTGCAGAGTGCCAGCGTTAGCTGGACGGAAAGTGAAAATCCAGTATGCCGACACCAAACTTCTATGTTGTTGTGAGAACTGTGCAAGGACACGCTTGAGCTCTCTGCAGTTCTCGGCTGAAATGGATTTAATGTCTTGCGAGGTGGCCACACCCAGCAGGGCATTGATTGCACAGAATGTCGGTACAGCATCAGGAAATATCATGGAACTCTATGCTATTGATACATTAGGCTCAAAGCAGAGTCGCGCGAGGGTATGCTTCAGCTATGGGGCGCTATCAATGACCCGCATACGGAGCCAGTGGCAATGTTTGGGAAGTGGGAGGTGATGGTTGTGGTCACGGTAGTGGGTTGCTTGTCCGAGCAAGCTTGTACAATATTCGAAAGCTGCTGAGGGTTCCATAGCATTAAACAAGAGGGTGTCATGACGAGAAGCACGAACAGTGTTTTTGGGCAACGGGAGACATTGCGCTGTCTTGGCGCCGGGTGCGCCAAGAAAGCCTGACTGATGACTCTTGGATGATCACCCGTTGGAAGAGCCTTTGGCACAGAATTCATAGCATGGGAAGTGTATGGGACGTTTCCAAATGACAGGAGCCCGTGCGCCTTCTCTGACGATGTGGTAACGAGGTTCCTGTCAGGTAGTGTCCTGGAACCACCAAAGATGCATTGACACCGTACGCGGATGATTCGTTGTGTAGCTGCTGCAGCCGTGGTGTCATGATGTCCAGGACTCAGGAAGCATGGACTGCGTTCCTGGATTGAGAGACCCCCGCTGCCAACGACCCACGAGGTACAGGTGGCTTCAGCCGCAAGGTTCAGTTGTCGAACTGCACCATTGTGAGGAATGAGACAAGAGACAATGTCCTCTTGTCTGATTCCTCACAATGGCTCAGTTGACAAATAAATATATATATATATATACAAGAACACACCGTAATTACTCACGTGTACACAAAGATAGAACACCAGACAGACTGAATTTCTTCGAACGATACGTACATCTCATAAGCTTATTCATTGGTGTGATAAATGGCAGATGTCAGTTCATTTTAAAAAGACTGTCTTTACGAAAGTTTCTCACAAATGTAACCCTCTTCATTGCACATATTATGAGAATAATGTTTTCTAGGAGGAGGTAAAACACTACAAGTACCTATGTCTTTAGATTTCGCATGACCTAAACTGGACGATACATATAAAAACTGTAATAAGCATATGCAATTAAAAATTTTTTCATCTTAAACACGCTCTCAAGCTTTCCACTCCTGCCATTTGGCTTATTGCATTCAAGGTAATTGTTCTGCATCAATAATTTGGTTTTATTACATTAAAGCTGATATTAGCGAAATGGAAAAATTAAGAGAGCTGTCAGATATACTTATAACAATTTTGGCTATACTTTAATAACATGCTTATTAGCAAAAGCCAACCTCCCAACTCTAACACAGAGAAATACTGTATTGAGATTGATTATTTTTTTCAATTACTTAGAGGTTACTTTAAGCTAAACTTTTCACACATACTTCATTTTTCAACTTTAAGTTAAACTTATCACTCATACTTCATTTTTCTACTAGATGCGTTCACACTGACTTCATTCACCACCCGTAAAAGCACATTCATATATTTGTTTTTCTCCAGGACAATTACCGAATGAAATATTGTTAATAACGATGTTGTTTTGCTGTAATCTTTGAATCTTTTTTCTATGCTGCTTCAGCGATAACTGTGTGTACTTTATTACACGTAGTAGTGTTGTTTATTTCAATCACTGCAGTATTTATTCTGTACTAGTGGTCATCTTGAATACAGGGCTTATTTAATATTACTGGATGCCCTTGTGCTTGTTTATTGCTAATTGTAATTTTTTCGTCTTTTTTTTCATCTTCTGAAAGTCTGTACATAATTTGTTTTATCTTTATTTCGTTTGCCAATTTGTAAACTTACCAAATGTATACCCACTCTGCTAAAACGTTCTCTGAGGATTGCAGTGTTCATAAATAAATAAAAAAATAAATCGTCACACTTCTATAATTCTTGCACCCTAAACATTGTCCAACAAAAATAGGAATTTTTTACCAAGAGTAATTATTGAAACCCTAATTATTGCAGCCATAATGTCGTCTGCTCTTTGTAACTGCTGATGATGATAGCGCTTGACAGGCTGATGCCATCTTTTAAGCGTTATGCGTACTAATAACGCACGAGGCGCAAATGCAATTCAATGATGATGATTTATGTATTGTGTTTTGTGGTCCAAGAGCCATTTGATGGCCAAAGTGTGCTAGGTCATAGGAGAATGATGTGAACAATGATTATGTTAAGTGGCTGTATAAGGGCCTTAAAACTCCTTAAGCTAAGGGGGGTAAAAATAAAGAAGTAATGAAATTGTTACAGTGATATAAAATGTGTAGTGAGAATGGGGGTGAGAGCTCATAATAATAAATTATGGTGGATATATTTGGCATATCCACAAGTGTCTCGCTGGTGCTCTTGCATCCAAGGGATGCAAGAAATGTGCTTTGTTCAATGTAGCCACTGCAGCAGCAATCTCTTTAGAGAGGTAGTGCTATATGAAATGCACGAGTGTATGACATGAAAAGTACGGATGTCTCTTAAAAAGCTAACAATGATTATTGTGTGGAAG